TAGAATATATTAGCTTCCTCTTCTCAATGCCATGACTGAAGTTGTTAACTGTTCCTGAGGACTTCATTTCTTCAGAGGAACCCACACTGTTTACTTCACACTGGCTTGCATCTGACTCTTTCCAAGAAAGATAATCAGGTGATATTTTATCACTGTTCCTTGGATGAGCATTCCTTGCAAATGAGGGATTTCACCTCACAGTCAATAATTTCGCCTGTCATTACTGAAACAGCAAACATTTCACCAATCTTAGAGCTGTGCCTTCTCTTCTGTCAAGTTCCATCTATTGAAACAGCAACTTTGCACACTGATTGGCCATCAATATCTACAACACATTCTTTACCTTCGTGGAAAGCTAGTTGTCTTAGCCTTTCTGCTGCTGCGCACATTAGTGTCTCAGCATTACTCACAGCTAATTTTTCAACTTGTTTCATGTGTTGAATATAGGCCTTCTTGCTAATTGGAGGTGGAAGTTGCAGCTCATATGGCAAAACACTCTGATAGTAGTTTAGCATCTTGTAGGTTAAAGCCATGAGCCTCCTCATGAACACAAATTTCTGCTGAACTACTTTGAGAACGAGTGATGACTGCCTCTTTCCGATCAAAGTCCTCCAAAGAATTGTTGATAAGTTTCAATTCTGACATATTTTTCGGCGCAGTAGGGTCTAGAAAGTTATCGTACTCATTTTGAGCCTTGGATGTGCTTAGTTGTGGCTCCATGTGTGATTCTATGATGGTGTTATTTCTGCCATTTTCCTCTGCTTCCCTTCACACGTTCATGCTTTTTTCCCATGAAAACCTTTCCTTTCCTTCCTTCGACACAATCTAAACTTCCCTTCTCTCTTACTTCTGGTTTTTCCCTTGGCCTCCATCGATAAATTCCAAATTACACAACTTTGACAACATTAATACTCCAACACTCGCTTGCATTACTCGGTGAGAAAGTCAAGCAAAATAAGCGCAAAGTGTTGTGTGTTGTGGGTTAAAAAATTTGGACGGTCATGGAGTATAAGACCTCTGGGTTACAGGAGAGCAAATTTGGATCGTTTCTCGAAAAACCCATATCTGTAAACCATGGCAACCGAAATCAACAAAGTGTAAACAATGGTAGCTAAGGCGTTTTTAATGACTTCCATTGATTAAAAATCAATTTTAAGATGGGATTTTAAAACATATTGTAAAATGCTCTCGGAACTAAAAAGCCAATATTATGAACGTCCTTCCTACTCTTTTCAAGTTTGTTCTACAAAGGTTCAGAACCCTTCTTGATTCGCCACGTCTGGAGGAACGGTTGCAAAGACTGAGCACTTCTATTTAAAATTACTGTCTCATTTTTAAATCATTACCATTTATTTCTTTGTATGATTATTTATGGGATTTATGGGAAATAACCCATACAATCTGATAACAAGAAGAATCAGATTTACAGACTTTACATTAAGAAGAGAACATATAAAAAGAGAACATAAAAAAGAAGAGAAAAGAAAGTTCAATACTGAATATCTATCAAAAATAGTTCAATTGAGGTATTATGAACTAAAAGTGGCCCTGTGTTACATGATGTACATATTTAACATAATTGAAATAGAAGAATTATCAATAGGTGATGATGGCAATCCAATGATTTGGACTCAATATTTGGAAGAACAGTATTTAGAAACATATTACTGCAGTATGTATTGACTGGATGTGATCGGTCAACTTACGTCAAGCCGAGGAAAAGTCCTGATTTTTCAAATCAATTTTCATGTAACCAATCATTGGTATCAAATCAATTTTGACTTTAGTGGGACAATTGACCAATGATATTGACTTGATTCCGAAGCTTCTAATCATCGACTTTTAGTGAGCTCAATTTATCTTTTTAGAGAGAAAAGGGTCTTTCATGCAGTTTACAAACGTAATGTTATTATACTGTTTGTACTAGTAAAATTTCATTTGGAACCATATATGAAATAGAAGTAGGTCATATTAATTCTATACCTTTAATTTTTTTTCTTTTTTCAGTTTAACTTCAGGCTGAAGATTTCTAAAATAAGGAACCTCCTGTCTGAAGTTATAGACTATCTGGAATTGCCAAATGACAAATACAATTCAGTAACAATTAACTTATATGTGGAAGGTGCTCGAATACCCATTAGAGAACAGTTTTGTGTTGAAAGTAACATCAGAAGAGTAGTTCACTTTCTACCACCTACTGAATTCTCCAGGTTGCTTAGATTTGTATCAGTTAAAGTTCATTACAATGAACCTGAATTTAATACATGTGTTGGGGACGATATGCAGAGAACTCTTTTACGCATAGCAGCACCAATGCAAGTCATTCCATGATTGAGTAAACCTTCTTTTAAATTTGAACATTTTCACCATTTGACATTGCGTGTTGTTTTGACTTGATCTTCGTACACCTACGGTAAAAACTGAAAACGAGAACCTAAATTAACAACTCACTGGGCGAAAGCGAAACTGCAAAACGAGGCACATGTACTTATATATTTCT